ATAATAATATAGAAGAATTCGACTTTAGTGGGAACAAAATTTTCGTAGAATATTCTTTTGTGTCTTAAATTTTAGAAAAGAACCCATATAAATTCCGAAAACTATTATTAAAAGAAATGAATATGAACAAAAATAAATTTGCTATGTTAAAATTTGACAAGATAGGTGATAAAATTAAAGAATTAGATGTTTCTGAAAATAGAAGTTTAAATGATATTTCTTGTTTTAATTTTTTAAAACCGAATTTTTAAAAACTAATAATAAAAGATACTAATTTGAATAATTTTTTGATTTCTTAATTAAAAATTACAGAGATTTTTGTAAATTTAATACATTTAGATATTTCAAATAATAAAAGTATTACTAATTTTGAATTTATGAATGAAATTTTTAAATCAGCTTAATAATTGGAATATTTAAATATATCTTTTATGAATTTATAATAAAGTTAAGTTATGTAAATTAACTTTTCCTTTACTCCAAAAACATTATAGAATTTTAATATATAAGGAAACTCAGAAATTTAAAATTTCGAATTCTTAAATATCTTTTTCTAATAAACTTAAGACTTGAAAGAAATTTATTTGAATGAATTAAATTTAGATTAAGAAAAAATAGAAAAAATAGATTTTTCGAAAACTACTTAAAAAATAAAAATAATAGACCTAACTAAAAACGAAAAAATATAAAATATAGATTTCCTCGAACATATTTTCCTATAAAATCCTGATTTTAAATTACAAATATTAAAAATAGACTAAATAAATTTCAATATAGCAATTTTCCTTTAAAGATTTTTCAATTAAATAGAAAATATATAATCCCCAAACAATCAAATCCAAGTATATTTTTTTTCCAATAACTAATTTAAAATACAAGTCCAAACAATATAAATGTTCCGTTTTCTATATTCCAATACAAACATTAATAATACAGCTTATAAAAAAAAAAAACCGCAAAAAACACTACCGAAGAAAATGATCTAAAAGTGATAAATAAAAGAAAAACCAAAATTAAAGAACTTTCCAGTATGACCTCATAAAGCAATCAAAGTTAATTTTTTGTTTAATTATTAAAAAAAATACTCTAAAACCAAAACGAAAAATAAGGCACTCTACTTCTTTTACACTTCCTCTTCATGTTACTAAACAACTAAGTATTATAATGTGAACAAATAAACCCTGATTTCTATATATTATCTCCATATTAATTATTCCTTAACAATAATACAATAAACGATATCTAAAAAACCCAAAATATACGCTTCGATGTCTTTAATTTAGCCCTAATACATTTAAATTTAATAAAACCAAACACCAAATATATTTTCGCATATGAAAAATTCTACTTTTAATATTTTTAATCGTTCTATATTCAAGAATTAAACGAAAAAGGCAGTGATTTGGAATTTATGATTAATTTAAATAAAGTTATGGTCGAAAAAGGTGTTCAGTAAGCATTTTTACCAATAAACTAGTATTATCAGAAGACATATTAATATAAAAGAAATTAACAGAAATCTAGGTCTTATATTTATCAAATAAAATACCGCCTGCGTCTTTAAAAATGAAAGGTAATTCTATTTAATTAGTAAAAAGTTGGTATGCAATAAATTTTTATTCACCTCTATCTATAAATACATAAATAGACGTAGATTATGATTTATTAGAAAACACGTCTATAGCAAATTATTTAAGTCTAAAATCTTATAAATTACTTGTTAAAAATTTCGAAGCGAAAAATTTATTTTAAAATATACTCTATTATATTGGCGTTATGGGCTATTTTTCCTTCAACTTCCTTACTTCTTAGGCTAAATAGTTCAAATTTGACCACTCAGTGATTCATTTGGAAAAAAAACTTATCTAAATAAAAGAAAAAAATCATACATATACCCTATTTAAAATACTTTATCCTATTTATTTATTTTTCTGTATATTCGGAGTCTGGTTTTTTTCTATATATTAAGATATTACTTGTGGAAACGGTCTTTCTTGGTATTCTTATATTTCATACGCTGCTTTTGCCATTTTTACTTTTTCCTAGAGTTATATCTTTTCGGTTTTTCCCTAAAATACGTTAGTCATCTCATCCCAGAATTAAAGGCAGATTGTTAAACCATGTTCCCCTATATATATGTAAATTAATTGAAATAATTCATTGTAGATGTCGCTTGGATTAATTAATGGTATATAAATTACACTATAGCCTTTTTTTTATCCTAATTATGCCGTTTTGACTTTTTTACAGATTGCGGTTTCCTATATACAGTCTATTCTTGCGGAGAATACAGTATTTTGGCTGCTTCTTTGATTGCTTTGACCATTACTTAGGCTTTTAATACATTTTTCTATTTAAAAACTTTCCGAGAAAAAGAAGATAGTAACGAATTAGTGACAGGAAATATCGATAAATTTTACGAAATGTGCAATCTGATTGAGTTTTAGGCTGTTGCGGAAGTTTTAGATATAATAAGTCCTTCAAATACTTTCGTGTTTAAAAATAAAATGTTCAACTAGAGAATTATTAATTCTTTTGTAAGAATTCTATTTGAGGACCTTCCTTAAATTATTATTTAAATAGTGTATTTAATTAAAAAAAATACGTATAATATAAATGTTATATTATCTATATTTTCATCTATATTATAATTCTTTGTTTCACTATATAAATTCCTTAGTATAAATCCTTCAAGATTAGGCCAAGAAGACTTTAATGCCCTAAACTAATAAAAATAAAGGTTTGTTTTAAAAAAATACTAAAATTAACTTTCAGAATATGAAAAAAAAATTGCTTATTTTAACCAAAATGAATAATTGAAATGTATTAAATCGAAAACTTATTATTAGAAAATAAATAAAAACTTTTCTAAAAAAGACTAGTAGTTTGTGGATTATTTAAGAAAGTTTTAAAATAATATTAATGCTATAAAAGAATTTTTCGGGAATGTAGAATTTGTGGATGATATAGATGAAAATTTGATAATTAATAATTCACCAAAAATATAAGCTTAAGATTAATAATTATATTCAAGTTAAAAATTAATATAGTAAATAGATAATATTGATATTAAAGAAGATTAAATAATAAGAAATAAAAATGCTTCTGATGAAAATATTCATTAAAAATTATAAATACAAATAAACAATAATAATATTATATAAACATAAAATAATTTATAAACAATAAACAATTTAGATAAATTAGTTAAATAAATAAGTGATGATTTAAATGATAATAATAATAATAATAATAATAATAATAATAATAATAATAATAATAATGATATTAATAAATAAAATTAATCATAATAAAAAAGTTAAGCAAGAGTTAAAACTTTTAATAATTTAGAATCTCCAGAACATATTGAATAAAACTATGATTAATTAATTTTAAATGTAGAAAATCAATTAATAGAGAATGAAAAAAATATTTGTAAAAAAACTCTATAATAAATAAAAGAAGAATAAATTGATATTCAATAAGATATTTCTAAAAGAAACACTTAAATAGATAATAATTTAATTTATAATTAAAATTCTTTAAATAAAATTGAAAAACTAATAGATAGTATAGAAGATTAATAATAAGAAAAAATTATTCACTAAGAAGCAAACGAAAATATTAGTTAATATTCTAAAAAAACAAATAATAATATTATATAATAATAAAATGTTAATAATCTTTAATATACTTAAAATTTAATTAATGACATATAAGATAAAATAAATCAAGTTTAATAAGATTCCAATTAAAATAATGAATAGTAGTAATAAAATTAAAATGATAATTAGTCTAAAATTTCTAATTAAAGTATTATTAATAAAGATGAAAATTAAAAATTAATATAAAAAAGTTAGAAATATTTAATAAATTGAATTAAAATAAAGAAAACTAAATAAAAATGATATTAATTTAGATTATTTTAAATTAATTACTTATTTATTTATTCAAAACCTATATAATCATAAAATTAAAATAAAAATATTATTTTTGACACATTATAATACTGTTAATAGTAATTTTAAGATAAAATAAAAAAAAAAAATTTAATTAATTAAATATAAAATTTATTAAATTTAAAACTTATATTTAATTTTTACAATTAATAAATAATAAATAAAATAATTTTTTAATATTAATATATGAGTATTAATATTAAAAAATTTATTTATATAAATATATATATAAATATATATATAAATTATATATATATATATTTATTTATATATTTATCTTCTTCAATATGTAAATTTTTATAAAATATTAAATGTAAATAAAAAAAATACGAATAAAAAATAATAATTTCAAAAAACAAAAGTCTTTTTTTTTAATATATTACTTTTAGTAATTTGGAGCCATTTATAAGCACATTTAGCTGTAATTTAATTAACTTTATTAAGACTTAATTATTCATTTAACTTAAATAAATATAAATGAAAAAAAATAAAAAATTATATATATAAATATAAATTAAATATAAATATTAAAAATATATAAATTTAAATATATAAATATATTGATTTATACCACAGTATGAAAAGAATCTTTTAAATTTAATCTTTATTTATTAAATAAAGATCCTGCACCTTTTTAAGCTATATCTTTGTTTACAAGTTCTCTTTACATAATATTTTTATTTACTTTAGTATTCAAGAGTACATTTGTATCATTTAGTTTATTTATTTCTAATCTTAGATTTTTATTTTCATTTTTTAATTCTTCAATTTATTAAAGAAGTTCATTTTTAGTTTTATCTGATATAATTAATTAATTTCTTATATCTTCCAAATCTTCATTCATATAATTTTAAAGTAAATTATTTTATTTCTATATTTAATCATTATTATTATTTTTGTTATTTTTTTATCTTATTTAATTCTTTATAAATTAATTGCTTATTATTCTAATTTTTCTTTGAAAAATATTGAAATCTCATTATTTTTAAAATTTTATTCATTTTTTTCACTTGTTTTAATTTCCTTTTTCTTTTCTAAATAATGTTCATGTATTTAATGCAAATATAAAGGCGCAACTTCATACTAAATACTATAATTTTAGAGATTATTATTACTATTTTCTTCATTATTTTCCTATTAACTGACTTATTTTTAAATATCGATTTCTAAAAAACTATTTATTAAATTATTTTGGGCTTATGTCTATTTTTTTTCATTAAAACCAACAGTTTTTTTCTTTATTTTAGAATCTAAAAATTATACGTTTTCTTCGTTTTCTATCCTTATTTTTTCCTCCATTTACTACTTTTACTAAACTTTCTTAATTTCTTCTTACTAAGAATTACATAAAAATCTAAAACGGAAATCCTTTTCAAAATTAAAAATGTATTCTTTTTCAAATTTTTATTTTATCATAATGCACTCTTCTTAAATTAATAAATTATATAAATTAATCGCTGAAACTCCATTTTCTAATGATAAATCAATAAAATCTTCATTTTTAATCACCAAATAGCACCCTTCACTCCTTCCTAAAACATTGTTAGGCCAAGAAAGGTCCATAAAAAACTATTTGAGACCTAAAATTTATCCGGATTTATATATTTGTACTTAGTTATCTTCATCATTAAATTCAGATAATTCACCTCTTAATATAAATATTAATTTTTAACATCGAGTATTTTTTTTACAGATAAAATCCTACAAATATATAAATGTAAATAAAAATAGTAAATATTAATTTATACTTTAGGTTAAAATTCAAATAATGTCGAATGTTTAAGAAAATTAGAACGATCTCGTTTATCCATTTTTTAAATTAAATTTTAAAATTTGTGATTTTTCTCAAAAAGTTCAATAATTCTTTTACCAGGCAAACTAGACGGAGTTTAAATTACATCATTTAAAATGTTTTCATTTCTATATATATTATATATATATATATATATATATATATATATATATATATATATATATATAATACTTATATTAATAATGTATAGTATCATATGTTTTTTTAGATATTATTTAGCATAATTTAAATGCCACTTTTGGATTTTTTTTACAAAATACTTTATAATCTTCTTATCTAATAGTTGCTATATAACCTTCTTTTTCACCTAAAATATCAAAATAATGTTTTTCGTTACTATGTTTACATATTTATTATTTATTTATTTATTTTATTTTATTTTTTAAAAAATAAACTCAGGTAATTTCGTAAAATTCATATATCCGATCATGTCTCCAGTTTCTATATAACCAAAAACTATACTTTCCGAAGATAATAAAGCCCTTCCGGATATTATTATTCCAAAATAATCTACTGGTTCGTTTTTTCTGGCTAATGGTGTGCTCCTTTTTATTTATTAATTTTTTTTGTTTAACTCTTATTAAATTTAAATGTTATATTTTTGTTACTTTTAGAATGATAAAAAACGTAAATATTCGCATAATTCATCTATTTCTTTGATATTCCAATTGTGAAATATTCTTGTGTTTTTTTTTAATATTTCTAATGCCTTTTTGCCATTTTTTATATCTAATTCATTTTAAATTTTAAGTTTCATTTTAAATATATTATTATGTTTTTTTTTTCAAAAATATAAAATTTTTTAAAAAAAATCTAAAAAATATTGTAAAAAACAAAAATACTAAAAAAAAAATATTTTTATTAAATTAAAAAAAAAAAATGTTCTAAAAATATCACAAAAACAAAAAATTAAACAAAATAAATTCTCTCTTTTATTTTATCTTAAAAAAATATAAAAAAAATCAAGAATTTTAAAACAGCTTCAAACATTCTTAATATAATTTATTTTATTAAAAATCGTTCATTTCCGAAACCTATTAATCCACTTAACTTTCTAGAATATTTTAAAGATCTAAAGAAGACCCATTAATTGATAAAGTATTAAAAACATCATTCCAATCTTTATTTTCATTAATTAATTTAATAATTAAATAATCAATATTTTTCACATCTTAAATAATATTTTTTAAAAAAACCTCATCTTTTTAAATTGATTCTTTATTATTTTTTTTTAATTCTTTTTTAAAATCTTTATTTAAATTAACCAAAAGATTCTATATATTTTCCTAAATCTATTTCAATCCTGAATCTTTGCATTTAATTTACATATCCTCAAGTGCTTTTTAACAAACTAAATATATAATTTCCAGTCCCCCCAAATTTACCGAAAGACAGCAATTTTATAAAACTTCAACTAAGTCTCTTACTAAATAATAATTTTTAAAAACCACAAAACTTTCTTAAAATTCACCTCCCTTTTTAAACTACTACTATCCCATTTTTTATATTTTCTTAAAAGGTTCTTCCATTTCCTACCCCCCCATTAACGGATTTGTATTCATAAAGTTTCCTGTAGGATTCATAATAGGTGGAAAGGGAGGCTTCATACCCTACATTACACTCATATAAGGTGGAACACCTTTCATCATATTTGGAGGAAGCACCATTCCAGGTCTCATAGGTCCTCTCATCATTCCCGGATTCATCATTGGAGGTCTATATGAACCAGGTAATTATCCTATTGTGGGGATTCTTAATGGATTATATTATGATGGATCCATTTATTATGGTAAAGTGTTTTGTGGGTGATTTTTTGATGAATTCAATAATACATTTTGCTTATCAGATATTTATTATTATTGAGGAATATCGGAATGTTGTTTATGCTTTTTTTTGGGGTCTCTATTGTGAGATTTACTACTGTGTGAACTTGAACGAGTTGGGGAATGTCTTCTTTTTTTCTTTTTACTATCTTTTTTGTATTTTTAATAGTCAGGAGAACCCATTTTATTTATTTATTTAAAAAATTGTATTATATATTTATAATTATATTATTTGTCTAATTAAATATGTATTTTATTTTATAAAAGATAATTTTTTTTTATTTTTTATATATAATTTTTTTTTTTAATAATATTTATTTATTTTAGATTCTCATTAATAAGATGGTGATAAATATTTAAATTATTATTATTTTTTAAATTTTTAAGAAGGAGAATTAATAAAAAATTAATTTTTATTAGCTAATAATAGGCTTTATTTTATCTATTAAAAATATATATATATAAAATAATAAATATATAAATATATAATTATATTTTTTTATAAATACTTATTCTAATTATAGATTAATGAATGATTTATTATCACATTATAAATTTTATTTTTAATATTATTCATTTTATTGTTTATATTAATTTTTTTATTCAAACTCACCTTGTTTTAAAGAATTTTTTTACAATTCATTTTCTAAATTGCTTTTATTTTTATAATAAAATATTATATATTTATATATAATCATAAAAAACCTTATAATTTATGCTTAATTATAAACTTATTTTTCTAATAAAGAATTTTGTCCTTTTTATTTTTACAAAGCGTTTTCTAATTCTATTTTTTTATCATTTATTTATTTTTATTCGATTTCTAAATTTTTTAGTTAGCTTTTTAAAGTTTTTTTTTTTTTCAGATTCTTTTTTTTTTGTTTATATTCTGAATACTTCTAATTCAAATTTTCTTATAAAAAAAAAACATTAATAAAATATTTTTTTATATATTTTAAATACCTTCATTTATTTTCAAATTATTAATTTCAATTAAAGCCTAATTATTTTTTTCTTAATAATCTTTTATTTTTACATCATAACTTTTTTTACTTCTTCAATTTATTTTTTAAGATTATCAATTTAATTTTCCTAACTAAATCCCTTTTTTTAATTAAAATAAAATATATGTTTTTAATTTATAATTTATTTTACTTTTTCTTATTCTTTTTATAATTATTCAATAATTTATTAATTATGTCTTTTAAGTTACATAATGGTATTTTATAATTCTTCATAATTTTAAGTTTTTTAATCAAGTTTATTAACTTCATTTTTAAAAATCATATTTTATTATAAAGCACATTCTAATTTTTTTTTTTAATCATTAATTTAATCATTATAAAGTATTTCTTTTTCCTACATAGCTTATTAAAGTTTTTTAACTGAAATTTCCATTTCAGTTTGCATTTTCTAAATTTTTAATAATTATTTATTTTTTTAAATAAATAAATACCTATACTAGTTAGTTTTCTTCTTTTAATTATGTTATTAAAGCTTCTTTTTGGTTTAATTTTATAGTTAAACTTTATATTTCGTCTTTTAATTATTTTATCTTCTATTCATCTTATTTATTTATATTTTAATGATGGTATATTATTTATTCCATTTCTTCATATTGATTTTTTACATTTTCTTAAGCCTAAATCATTTCTTTTTTTAAAAAATAAAATAAAAATAATATTTTTATTAAAAAGTAACTTTGTAGTTATGTTATTTATTATTCTAATTCATATATAAGTTAATCTTTTTTTTGAAATTCATATTTTAAATATTCCATCTATTTTTTTACATATATTAATATAATAATTTTTTATATTTACCTTCTCTCTAGATTCTCGTAATTTATTTATATAAAATTCTTCTAATTATATTTAATTAATTTCATTTATTTCTTAATCATCGATATTATCTTAACAAAAAAAAAATATTTTAATATTATTATTTTGTTTATATATTTTAATTATTATTTACCTATTTTTCCATATATTGTTTTAATTTAATCTGAATATTAGTTTTGATGGTTTATTTTTTAAGGATTTAAATTAACTTAAGAACCTTTTCTTGAATTTTGTATTTGCTAATTTAAGGATAAATTCATTAATATAAAAAATGCAATTTTTGTTAAAATATTTATAAATAAAAAATTTTAAAGGTTTTATTTATTTTAAAAAGTATAAAATTTTATTTTATTTTAAAATAAAAAATTAAATTTAACAACAAATTATTAATTTTTATTAAAAATTAAAGATTAAAAAAATAAAATATAAAAAAAAATAACTTTTAATAATATTTATTTTAGAGGATTATATTATTTCTAATATATTTTTTTTATGAATATATTTTATAAATAAAGATATATTTTTTTAAAAATAATATATATTTTGAATATATTATATATACATTAATTTATTTATTTTTACTATTTAAATAATATATAAATATATATATATATTAAATATAAGAATTATTCTTATTATATTTGAAAAAAAATTACGTTTAAAATGAATTAAAATATAAATACTTTTAAAAAACTAGAAATTTAAAATTAAATATAAAAAAAAGAAATACAGAAAATGGCAAAATAAAAAACATATAGTAAATTAATTGATACGTATCATTTCTAAAATAATAATTTTTAAATATATTTATTTATTTATTTTTATTAATAATATAAATACATGTTATATTGAATTGTATTTTTTTTTTTAATAAAAAAGATCTCGTTTATAAATTAACAGAAAAAAATAATCACAATTTTCTAGTTCATTTGTAAATAATTGTATATAAAGTTTGCAAAAAAATTCATTTTAAAAATAAACATTTGAATCTTAATTTAAAATAATTAAGTAAATAGAAAAAGAAATAGATTTTATTTTTTTAAAAAACGAAATATATGAAAAACATTTTCCAAAAAATGAATAATAAAATGACTAAAATATTTATAAAAAACCTTTGTAAAGTATTATCATAAAAAATTTCAATATTTTCTAATAAATAAAAATTAGTTTAATAAAAATATAGTACTTTAAATCAAATAAACTTAAAAAACAAATAAATATTAAACTTAAAAGAATCGAAAAGCGAATAACAATCATAAGTTTAAACTATAGAAAAAAAAATGTACTTAAAAAGACAAATAAAAAAATTAAACTTATAGAAATATTTTATTTTTATATAAAAAGACTTCCTAAAAAAACTAGAATCTAAGCAAAAATTAAATACAAATATATTAAGGTTTACTCTTATATTTTTTTAATATAAAATTAATTTAAATAGAGGAAAGAAAAAATTTTTCTTAAAATAAATCGAAATAATTATCTTTATAAAATTAAAAAATTTGATAGTTTCATAATTGTATGAAGAATAAAATACTTAAAAATAAATAGAAACAGTATTTTAGGAAAATGAAATTTAAGAAAATGAATAATGTAAAAATATAAGCAATTAAAAAGCATAAAATTAATAAAAAAATTATTCAATTATTGAATAATAAAATAATAACTAAATGATATAATAATAAGAAAAACAAATTGTATTTTTTAAATTATAATTTAAATAAATAAATTAATGTTTTTTTATTTATTTAAAAGGAAAATAATATATTTTCCTAGTAATAATAAAACTCTTCTTTTTAATGTAGTACAGACATAAAAAATAATTATTTATAAGTAATTTATTTAAAGAATAAAGAAAAATTAATTTTATATTATTATTTTTTTTAAAAAAAGGAATAATATAATTGTTTTTATAATAATTAAAATTCAATTATAGAATAAAAAGGTTTTGTTTATATATATATTAATATTATTTATAAATTTTATAGATTTTGTAAATAGAATTAAATAAATAATTACATCTTTAGACAATAAATAAGTATCCTAAAATACTCAATAGGACATTTAAAAATTTTTATTCTAAAATATTTAATTAAATGAAGAATAAAATAACATTGAATGTTAAATATAAAACTTTATTATTAATAAAGAAAATATCAAACAAAATATTGAGATAATATAAAATGAGAATGTAAAAATTAACAGTTAGTAAACATTAATTGAAGAATTATTAAATTTTTAAAATGAATAATAATTATTTGATTATTTTATTTAATAAAAAGCTTTTCCGAGTAAAAGCCAATATGAAAACTTATGGTAAATAAGAAATTTTGATTCTTAAGAAAATATAAACATTAAAAATGTTATTATTATTATTATATATTTTATTTTATTTTATTTTTTAAAAAAAGATAAAATTTACAATAGATTATATATTAAATGAAGATAAAGAATATGAATAAATATATCAAGCAAAATTATCAAATTTCGAAATAAATTTAGAATAAAATATAAAAAAATTTACATAAAAATAATAATCAGAAACATATATAAGAAATAAAGTTACAGATATAAATATTTAATTTAATAAATTAAAGTATTATTGGAATTAATTAGATACTTCATATAAGGAAAGATTATAAACTTTATCATTTTTAAATTAAAAAATGTATATTTATATTATAAAACATATAATGAATTATTCTAAATAATAAATTTATTTAAATATTTTTTTTTATATAGATGTTTAATTGATAAAATGGAAAAAATTTTGAACAATGAAGTTGAGATTTTAGAAATATTTAATTCTAATATTTTATTTTAAAAAATTTCTTAATGTTTAAAAGAAAGACTTTAAACAAAAGTATTATTAATAAAGCAATTTAGTTTGCTTAATTATAGAAAAGAAAAAGATAATCTATAATCTATAAATGATCATTTGATAGAATTGAATAACGAATTATAAATATCTTATAAATAAGGCTAAACAATTGCAATTAATAAATTAAGCAAGAAATAAAAAATCAATTAAAAAGATTTTATTTGGAAAAACATAAAATTAAAATAAGTAGAAATTATATTCTTTTATATATATATATATATATTTATTATTTCATAGATTTTATAAATTGATAATTGGGAGTTTAAAAAATTAGATGGCTATTTAATAAAAATGAAATAAAAAAAAGAGAGATAAATGATATATGATTAGATATTTTTATTTAAATTAATAATATATATATAAATATATATATATATATATATGCATATTTAATTATTTATAAAATGTATTATATTTTTTCATATTTTTTTATAAAAATTTAACAATTTTTTCATATTGTTAGAAAAAAAAAAAAAAATAATAAATATTATTTTTTGCTATTTTTTATATTAAATATTATATTAGAATTAAATGAATAAATCAATAAATTAAATTATCAGTAATTCTTCTATATATACATGGATTATTTAATTTTTAGATTAATATAATGAAAATATAAATAATAGTAATTTTATATTACTTAATTAAACCAAATTTTTACTATTTTTATTTAAAGTTTATCCTGTTTATAATTATAACCTTAATTATTATTAAGAATTTTGGAGATGTTACTTATTAAATAAAATAATTATTGAAAAGATAGAACTTTTTATAAAAGAAAATTAAAACTTAGATTAAGAATTATTAAATTTATATGTATTAATTTAATAAATATTTATTAATATATTTATCATTTTATTTTATTTTTTTGTTAATTAATATAGAAATATTACAAAGAATACTAAAAGGTTATTTGTATAAAAAATAATAAAAAAAAAGAAGGACATCAAATGAAATAAATAAAAACTATACATGTTTTGTTAAAGATTGTCAAAAAAAATACGGAACCGACATTTCTTTAAATTTACATATAAGATTAAAACATAATAATAATAATGATAATTGTAATAATAAATATATAGATTTTTATTAAATAAAAGATCTCTGAAAAAAAAAATTATATTATATTAAATAAATAATTAATTGATAAATATATTTTATAGTTAAAAATAATTAAATATCCATAAATATACTATAAAGCATTATATTTAATCAAATAATATTATTTATTATTTTTTTATTATTTTTATTATATTTATAGTAGTATTTTAATCAAAGTTTCTTTAAATGAATTTTCTAAATTATTACTTTAAATTTTATATATTTATTATATATTAACCAATAAGACTTTAAGATAAATATATTATGGAATTTAATCTAGTACATAATTAATTTTAATATAATGTTTTTCAATGATTTTGATATATTGAATATCCATAATAAAGGGAAACAAATTCATATTTTTCTTTGAATTATATTTTTTCATGATCAGAAATAAACTAATTTATTTTAATAAAGTCAAAATATAAAAGAAATGCATTAAATATTTCAAGAATAATTAAATTACAACTTTTTAAATATTTGATTTTAAAAGTGAATAAAATATAATAATTATTTTAAAAAATTTTCGATAAAATTTATATTTATGAAATATTTTATTTTTGTATATTTTTTAAACGATGAAATTATTTTGTTTATTTTAAATACATAAAATATCAATTTTTATATAATTTTACTATATTAATTTATATTAAAAAAATATAAAATTTTATAAATATAAAAATATATATATATTTTTTTTTTAGATTTTTTTTATTTTTTGTATATTTTTTTTAAAAAAAACTTAAACAAAAAAAAAATTAATTATATATTTTATTTTAACTTTTTTTTTATTTATATTGAATTTTAAAATATCTAAAGTATAAATTTAAATTATTTATAAAAAAATTAATAATAAAATGATACTTTTAATAAATATATAATATAAGTAAAAATTTGAATTAATTTTATATTATAAAACATTAAAATGAAAAAAAAAAAAATATAAAACAATTAATATTTAATTATTATACAGATGTTTATATATTAAAATTATTAAAAATATTTTTTTTTATAATTAAAGTATTTATTAAAAGTATATTTTTTCTATTTTATTGTATAAGCGATAATATGTAGAAAGAATAGAATATATTTGTATAAAAAACAAATAATATAAATAATATTTATAATTTTAAACTTTTTAAATAAAACTAAACGAATTTTATTATAAAAAAAACAATATACATTCCTATATATTATTAAATAATAAGATTAGAATACAATAATATGTAAAAAATAATATATTAATTTAATAATTGAAAAAAAGTCATTAAATATAAAAAAATCTTATGTATAATTTATAAATCAAATACATAGAACTTAATTCTTATAAAATTATAAAAATACTGAAAAACATTTATACAAAATCGCATTTTAAAATATACTTTATAATTTTTGTATTAATTTTAGTTATAAAAATTAATTTATATGAATTTGTAAATTTTAATTTTTAATATTCATTAAGTACTATAGTCTTAAATATATAATTTTTTTACAAAATAATAACTAAGATTTTAACAAAAAAAATACTATTAAATATATATTAAAACATTTTTTTTTATAAGTATTATAAAGAGAAATTTCATTATTAAAAAATATAAATATATATATATGTATATAATTATATTTTTATAATTATTTATTTTTCTTAATAGAAAAATTAAAAACATTATATTAATAAATAATTTTTTTTAATATCTCGTTATATTAAAATAGACAATCGTAAATACCCGTCTAGCTCAGTCGGTAGAGCGCTAGCCTTTTAAGCTAGTGGTCAAGGGTTCGAGCCCCTTGGTGGGTGTATATTTTTTATTTTTTAGAAATATTTTAATTAATATAAAATAGATAAATAATATATTTTTAAAAAAATAGTTATTTGTGATATATAATAATAGAATAAAATATACATACAAAAAATTTTATAAATAATATTATTTAATTATTTTTTTGAAATCGAATAAAATAATATTATATTATTATTTAATTAAGAATATATAAAGAATATGATAATAAAATAAAAAAAATAAAAAAATTTATATATATATATATATATATATATATATATATATATATATATATAAATTCATAAATTTTTTTTAATAAGTAATTAAATAAACTCTTATTAAGAAATTTTCCCATCTTTATTAGTATCACATTCAGACAAAATCTCCTACCAGAAAGTTTCTTCTATATCTCCCATAATTAAAGATAATTCTTCTTTACTTATATTTCCATTCCCATCTTAATCGAACATTTTAAAAGCTTATTCTATTTTTAATCTAGATAAAAGTATTTCTTTATTAGTTGCAGCCATTAAAAATTCTTTAATTTTTTTTTTAAGAAACATAATAATAAAATATATTTATACTTGTGTAATCAACTTTCCCAGAATTATTACTATCTACTATACTTAAAATTTATTCTACTTATTTTATAGCTAAATATTTATCTCCAAAAACTTAAGTATATCCTTATATAAGTTCATCTTTCGATAACATTCCATCTCCATTTTAATCTAATGATCTGAAAGTTTTCTATAGTTCTTAATTATCCTATTAACCGGTCATTTAAGATACAATAAAAGTCATAATGGCTTGTTTTATTTTCGAGTTACTTTAAAAATTAGATAAATTTTACAAAACTTTGTTATTTACAGGATTAGTAGGGGCATTTTTTTAAATCCAAGGATCATTTAATGATTAAATAGCAGAAATACGTTTTTTAGAATCATAGGTGAGCATTTTTTTTATCAAACTTTTCGCATCATAAGATATTTTATCCCAATCATCAGGGTCAAACCTAAATATTCCGGTTCGTACTTTCTTCATTATTTCTTCTTCATTTCTTCCAGTAAAAGGTGGATATCCACATAATAATATATACATAATAACACCACAACTCCAAACATCACACTTCTCATCATAATTTTAATCTATAAAAAAAAAAAAAATTATAATTATATATAGATATAAATAATTAAAAAAACCTAAAACTTCAGGAGCAATGTAATAAGGCTAAAAAATAAAAACATAAATACTTATATATATATATATATATATATATATATATATATATATATTCATAAATAAATATATATATATATATATATATATTAATATATCATTATAATATTTATATATTATATTACTGTTCCTAATCTTTTTGACATTTTTTTGTTTTTATCATATTTTCTTGATGCACCAAAATCAATAACTTTTATATTAGCATCTTTTTTATCTGTATCAAATATTAAATTTTCAGGTTTTAAATCTCTATGTACAATTTAATTTGAATGACAATAAGCAACTGCTTAAAGTATTTATTTCATATATTCTGCTGCCATTTTTTCTGTAAAATTATTTATTTTTTTAATTTTATCAAATAATTCTCCTCCTGAACAATATCTTAATAATAAAATAAAAAAAAATAAGAATTAAAGTAATTATATACATACTCAGTAATTAAATAATAATTTTTTAATCTTAAAAAAGTTCTATCAATTTTAAAATATTAGGATGATCTAAATTTTTTAAAATATTCATTTCTGAAAAAAGTTTTTCCTCATCTTCTTTTATTACATCACTTTTTTTCAGTGTTTTCATAGCTCGAGTTATTCCAGTACTTTTATGTATAACTTTACTTACTTATCCGAATGCACCTTCTCCTAAAATCTCACCTACTTTATAATTCTGGAAAATAGAACCGGATTTTAAATGAATAAATAAATCAGGAGATACTTAAAATTAATTCATACAACTTAATCTTTTTTAGTTTGATATAATTTTTTATTTAGAATTATAATCATTTTCTTTTGGTTTTTATTATTTTTTAAATTCTATTTAAGAATTTATTAATTATTGTTTTTTTTCTTTATCTTTATCTTTATCTTTATCTTTATCTTTATCTTTATCTTTATCTTTATCTTTATCTTTATCTTTATCTTTATCTTTATCTTTATCTTTATCTTTATCTTTATCTTTATCTTTATCTTTATCTTTATCTTTATCTTTATCTTTATATATGGTAGGCTTTTATGTTTCTATTTAATTTTTAATTGAAATTTATTATTTATATTCTGTTTATATTATTTCTATTAAAAGATATATAAATAAATATATATTAAATAAACATTTTTTAGTAATAAAAAAACTAATATTATATAGATTAATAATAAAAATATAAGTTTTTAATATTATGTTTTTATTTTATTTTATTTTATTTTATTTTTTTAATAAATAATTAATATATTATTATTATTTATACAATCTATTTCTATTTGATTTTCTTTATATTAAGTAAGTTTATTATCATAATCACTAGAGTAAATTTCTTTTGATTGATGAGATTTTATTGAATTTAAATTATCATTAATATTTTCCTTTTTATTTTTAAAAAGAAAAATATTTTTTTATTATACATTGATGTAAAATTTAATTATCTAAATTTATAATTTTATAATTTTTTATCTTTCTAAATTTTATGCTTTTAAATTATATTAATACATTTGCATATGTTTTTTATTATTCTGGTTTTATTTACTAACTAATATCAGATTCTTTATATATTGATTTTGTGATTTCTTAATTTTTTTATTTAAAATAAAATAAAAGTTTGATCTTTTTACGAATTATTTATTAATTATAATATAAAAATAAAATAAACCTTCATCTAATGAATATTTGTGCATTGAACAGCAATCGTTTCCCATTTTAAAATAATTAGAAAAATTGAAAATAACTGGAAAATATTATTAAAAATATATAAAAATTATTTAAAATTTAATTATATAATAAAATTGTATTATAAAAAAAAAAAAAAGAAATAATAATTTAATAAAAAAAATAAAAAAAAGGTTATATACTAAAATTATATATATATATATATAAATATATATATATATATATATATATATTTATATATTTTAATTAATTATTTTATTTTTTATTTAAGTATTATTTGACTTTAATTATTTTATTTTTATTTAAGTTTTTTTTGACTTTTTCTAAGATATTTATTTAATTTTTTTTGATTTTTTTATTATAATATATGTTTTTTGGTTTTAATTTTTAATATTTTCTTCTTTAATTAAATATAAATTTATATTAAACATAATTCAGTGCATAATTTTTAGTATTAAAGAGTTATAGATTAACCCTTATCTTATTTTTTTTCCTTTTATAAGCTTTTTATTATAAACAAATTCTGATTCATCTAAAATAAGTCTTCTTTCATTTATATTATTTTAATTCT